AGCGACTTCAAAACCTCCGAGTAACGAGTTTGCACTGATTTTGTATGGAATTCACACAAAACTCCAGGAGCCGAGGCCGTCCTGTGTCACAGATGTCTCGCACACCATCGCCGACATGGTATTAGTGTTCAGCGACACTAAAAATCACTAGGTAATGATTTTGCACTGATTTTGTATCTAATATTCAAAAAACTCCAGGAGACGAGGCCGAGGTGCCTCTGAGAATATCGCTGTCATAATATTCATGTTCATTGACCCAAAAAACCCTATAGGTTTTAGTAATATTGAACTCATTTCCGACAATGATTTCAGATTTTCAAATTTAACTTGTTTCATCACTTCGAAATGCACTTTGGAAAATGCATTTCCTTGTCCAATAATGCAATTTTCATTTCCGCATCATCATTGTTGTTCACAATATTTTCTGAAACTTATACGAATCAAACGCAAAAAGTTTCATTGATATCCCTAAAAATTTGGTAGGTTTATTGCTTCATTGTCTCGCCTAAAATGTTATCACTACAATTATATATTGTAAACAATTTTGTAATGTAAACTACAATTGCTGACTGTGGAATAATTTTAAAAAGAATACGCGTGGCACCTATACTCGCTTATTAATTCTTTAAACGCTACGCCGTCTACACTCTCGATCGAAGTTCTTCGGACGAAGTGAAGTTAATCGAGCCGAGGTGACACTCTACATACTCGTGAAGTCGAGTAACGTAAGAGTTTAGACATTGTGAGGAAAATAGTGAAAGGCGGAGCATTCGATCGGTGGTCTATCTATCTCTTTTTGGCAGCGCTTGCTCGTTACTCATATGGTGCTAAAAATCCTTCTTTTTAAAATTGATTAAAAACTGTTCTTAAAATAAATCTTAAGGTGCGTCCAGACATGCAACAAAACATCGTATCGTAACACCGTCACGCAACAATTGTTGTACGCATCGAAGTTACGGCATGATCAAAAATACAGGCGCAACAATACATCATCGCGTATCTTAGCAGCAGAACATACTGCCGTTCCGTCTGAATTGTCGTTTTCTAGTTGTGAGGTACAATTGGTACGAAATGGAGGTTGCTGCAGCAGCTTACATATTTATGCATTATTTCGTTAAGAAAAATAAAAAAAGGCGGGTAGAAAGGCGCTGGTGGCAGACAAAGTTGTATACTGTAAGAAAGGCATACAGTGGAAGACACTTACTACAGGATTTAAAATTTCAGGCAATTAGTGGAATCTACAAAAATTTTACAAGAATGTCTCCAACAGACTTCGAGTATTTGATTAATGTAATTGGACCAAAAATAGGACGAAAAGATACTAGATGGAGAAAGGCAATTTCTGTCCAAGAAAGATTGGCAGTAACAATTCGTTTTTTGGCGTCTGGTGATTCCTATACCAGTCTACAATATCTTTTTAAAATGTCTAAACAATCGATAAGTACTATAGTTCCTGAAGTGTGTAAAGCTATCGTAGAAGTATTAAAAGAAAGTATAGAGGTAAGAAACTATTTTATTAAACAAGTATATTAAACACTATTTCTAAAAATATTTTTTTATAAATCCCCTAATTCAATGTCGGGCATATCCAGTAATTGGTGTGGTAAAGAGGTAGTGACTGGAGTAGTGCGACTTGAATGAATCGAAATACTAGAACTATCATAAGTAGATGCTGGAGATGGTGACTGTGATTGTTGTTGAATAAAATTAGATCTTTGGCTATCCTGGTAGTGTTCAAATTGAGAATCTTGTGGCATAGAATTTGTGAAGTCTGACTGAAAATTATGAGTACGGTATGTTTGTAAATAATCCGAATTGATTGAGGTTTGCTTGAGATGGATCCTGTCTGCTTTAAATAAAACATTCATAATTTCTTGTTGTACATCACTTTGTAATTGAGAAGAATATTTGGCCAGTTTTTTAGCCACAAGATTTCCAATTATCTGACATTCGTTTTCTTCCCGTAGGTTATTGGCATTTGCTGATGCTTTGGACAATATTTTAAAAGCTTGATCTAGTTTCTCAGAATCTTCACTCTTCTTTTGGCGTTTTCTAGGTGTTACCTCCGTTTGTTTCCTTTTCGGTCTGTTTTCTATATTCTCTTGAATCTCTTGTGAAGCAGAATTTTTATCGCTATCCGCTAATGTAGGTTCTTCACTCGGTATATCTTTTTCACCTTCACCTTCTTCATTATCTTCAATCTAAAATATTTAGTAGTATCATCTAACTTTTTTAAAATAAATATTAAGTAAAAAAGTTTAGTTGGGTAATAAAAACATTGCTGAATTTTTGACACAGTTGTTTATTTCAATTTTCAGATACCAACAACACCAGAAAAATGGATAGAAGTGGCAAAACAATACGAGAAAACCTGGAACTTTCCTCATTGTCTGGGTGCCTTAGATGGAAAACATGTTGTTTTACAAGCATCAATAAACACTGGAAGCGAGTTTTTTAATTACAAATCAACATTCAGTGTAGTTCCTTTTGCTTTAGTGGATGCTAATTACAACTTTTTGTATGTCAATGCTGGAGGCCAAGGAAGAATTTCAGATGGTGGTATCTTTAAAAATTGCTCTCTTTACAAAAAATTAGTACAAAATAATTTAAATTTTCCCGAACCGGAAGCTTTGGATGGCATGCCACGGAAAATTCCCTATTTTTTTATTGGAGACGAGGCATTTGCTTTAACTGATTCATTAATGAAACCGTTTTCGGGAATACATGCGAAAGGATCACCACGAAGAGTGTTTAATTATAGATTATCTCGCGCACGAAGAACTGTCGAAAATGTATTTGGCATTACCTCAGCCGTTTTTAGGGTACTTCGTAAACCAATGTTGCTTGAACCTAAGAAGGCCGAATTAATTATAATGGCAATAGCTCATCTACATAATTTTTTAAAGAAAAGTTCCACATCTGCTGCTCTGTATACGCCACGTGAAGCTTTCGATACAGAAAATGAAGGAACGCTTATAGAAGGAACCTATAAAACTATAACCAATGGAACCATGTCCTCATTACTTCCAATTAGAAATGTTCCCAGAAAACCCACCGCAAATGCAGCACTAATTAGAGACGAATTAGCAGCGTACTTTCAAAATAATCATCGACTTTTGTGGCAAGATAATTATAATTAGGTATACGTAGTACTTAATTTAATACTCACAGTGCTTTGTGTTTCTCGAACCTGATTCTTGTTCCAAAGGAATTGCATACTTTTAAATGCATACCAACTACTTTCGTAGACATCTGAAAGCCCTATAAATAAAAAAACAATTTGTAATTCAAAAATACCTAAATAAAAATATATCAAAAGTAAATTAAAATTCACTCATTCAAACTTACCTTTTCCAGTACTGTGACTTTTTTTAATTTTGGCTTTCTTTCGCCTAAGTGCTGATAATAGAGTATTTATTTTTTTTACATTCATCTACTGTCGTTTTAAATTCTACAGCAAGTTCTTCCCAAGCATCATGTTTTTTTATTTTATTATAATATTTCGGATGTTTTGTATCCCACAAAATATCTTTATTTTGGTAACTATTTATAAAATTAATAGAAGATTCTTCCGTCCACTCCATTACAATTGTTTCAACTAAATAAATACAACGGAAGATAAAACGCGAGTATGTACGCAGACCCGTCCAAACAAGCAAACAAGCGGTGCAACATCAGCGCGTAACATTCCTTTGATGCGACGGCAGAAAACCGACAACCGATGGGACGCCTCGATGTTGCGGTGTTGCGCTGTTACGCTGTTACGCAGTGCGGTCTAGATTTGATACGCGACGGTGTTACGATACGATGTTTTGTTGCATGTCTGGACGCACCTTTATATACATTGATATAAGGTTGAATGCTCGAATAAATAAACTTTGATAATGTAAAAGGCAAATATCGAGCACAGTATTAATTTAATCTTGCCCAAGTACTTTCGATCACTAGCTCATCTTCAGGGGCATTTCGTCAATTGCGGCCTATCCGACAAGAGTAGAATGTCATAAATATAAAATGGAACATTTTGATGTTGTGTGATTAATACTGTGCTCGATATTTGCCTTTTACATTATCAAAAAAAAATCTTGTATACTTAAAACACAACTATTTTGGACAAGTTTACCTGCACATCAACTTAATTCATTTAAAAAGTAATTTTTTTAGTAATCGGACATAGTATCTATAATATATTAAAGAATTTTTTGTACTGATTTTGTATCGAATTTCGACAAGACGGAGCCCCGGTATGCCAGGTACCTCGAAGATAATCGCCGTCATGATATTCGTGTTTAAAACTCGCGAGTAGTAATATTGAACTCATTTCCATCAATTATTTCCAAATTGAAAATGTATCATTTTTTATCACTTCGACGTGTATTTTCCTTATCCAATAATGCAATTGTCACTTCCATATCATCATTTTTGTTCACAAAATTTCCTGACTCATGCGAATTGAATGCAAAAAGTTTCATTGAGATCCTTCTTCTTCTTTAAGTGCCTCTTCTATCGGAGATTGGATATCATTATGGCGATTCTAATTTTATTTACTGCTGTCTTGAATAATTCGTTAGTGGTACAGCCAAACCACTCTCTTAAATTTCTCATCCAGGACATTCTTCTACGGCCTGGATTTCTGCGTCCTTGGATTTTTCCTTACATTATATTTTGTAGGAATGTGTACTTTTGTCCTCTCATCAGGTGGCCTAAGTATTCAAGTTGCTGCTGCTTCATAGCCTCGCCCATTTATACTTTTTTTGAAAAAAGAAAGAAGTAGATAGACGCTTTCCGAAATAATTTTCTCCTGTATTCACTATTACCAATTTTCAAGGTTCTGGCGTAAGGTAAAGAAGATCATATTTTACTAAATGCTTATAATATGAAATTATTAGTACGATTCATATTTCTTTGGGTTACCTGTACAAACATCTTAAACTTATGTATACATAATGTGATTTATTAATTTGTGAATGAAACAAACTAGTAAATTTTGTAATTTTTAGTTACGTGGATTTTATAAACGTCATGTCATATGATTACCATTTCTATTCAAAATGGACTCCGTTCACCGGCTTCAACAGCCCCTTGTACGCTTCTGACGACGAAGTGTTTTTCTTTGGCACAATGAACGTGAATTACTCAGCAAATTATTGGAACCAATTGGGAATGGACCGTGCCAAAATCATCGTGGGACTTCCGACGTACGGACACACGTTTAAGTAAGTAAATAGTACCAATAGTAATGCTAAATGCACCCTCATAAAGCGTCTTTTTCAAATGCCAAGTGAAAATAATATCGAAACTGAAAATGTTAAAATCAACCGAAGCAAATTGCAAGGAGTCTCATTATGTCTCCACTGTGTTCCGTCCAGTAGGAAACTCCCTATTTGAACTGCTGATCCCCACTTCTACTTATGGCATATATCATTACATATGGGCCTGATGAGCAATTTTATTGAACCTACATAAGATTAAGAAACGATAATGTTTTTAGGTTTATCCAATGGTGTCCCCTTATTTCATGTGAAACAAATTATTGTTGATCTCCTCCAAACCGACTTGGTCCTGCTTGAACGCGCCGTTGTCGGTAGCTGGAAGGCCGGGATTAGACGATTCGTCGTAGCCTGAATCTGAGCTACTATCGCTCTATAGTTTTGAAGAGCCCGTGTTCTCGCTCTGTTCCATTTCCGGTTTGGCGATGCCAAGAGCCAGCTTGCAGGTAGCCAAACGGCTACGGCACGGCTTCATGCAGGTCGAAACGAGCATGATTTCGTCGTAGAGGCCTCTGAATATTACTCCGCAACATATCGTTTCCTTTTTTCAGTAATCCAAATCAATAAATCCACTAACTCTCATATCAACATGTCTTCTCTTAGGCATACCTTTGTACCTCCTGCTTTTCATCACAACGTCTTCAGAGTAGCTGAGACCGGGATTGCCTGTTCTACTTGATTCGTTGCTGGGGCCATCTTCGCATAAGTAGTCTACTACTTGGAGATCCTGCTCATCATTACCTTCACTTTTGTCACTCAATACTGGGCTATTTTCCGGATGAAACTGTTTTTTCTTCAACTTATCAGCTTTTTCTTCTAACGATTTACGATTTTTTACTTTAAATTTAGTCATGGATTTGATATCCGGACCAGCTCTGGCATCCACCACATGTTGCCACCATCTTTACATCTAACACTGGAAACTAAACTAACGCAGCATTTACTATATTTCTCAGTACTTTAAACTGAAATCTTTGAATAATATTAGTATTAAGTACTTTGTTTGATGCAGTTGTAGACTGTAAATCCGCACTGTTTAAGTACTTTAAAGAGTATGGTTAATCAAAAAAGTACCGTTTTATATAGGTACAAGGCCGAAATATTCTAACTTTATCAAATCGATACCTATCTAGTTTTCGATTGTTAATTAAACGCCCAAATAATTTGCGAAATTGAAATAAAACAAGCAATTGAACTTCGTAAGTCTTTGTAAGACTCCAATTTAACCGGAAGTAGAGCTGGAAGTCGATATTTGAGCTATTCTTGTAACTTTGTAACTAAATATTCAAACTCGACTTTTCGATACGTTTCGATTGATACATCACATGTACTATTCCTGTGAATATAATCTGGCACTTCCGATTACAACTTTCTAAAATCAGAAGTATATATTTGTTCTCATCTTGCTAATGCACGTCGAGTAATATATCGCTTGTACTATTTTGACGACTTTAAAACAATACTTCTTTTTGCAACTCCAAAACCGGAAGTCCAAGGTCAAATTTCTTACCTTTAATTTTACAATGCGTAATTTTTTATTATCAAAGAAAACAATTATAGAATGATACATTAACTGGTCATAAGTAAGGGAAAATAGTAAAAAAAATCAACCACCAAAATTATGTTATAATTTGATATTTAATCAGCGATGCATAAAGTAGTAAGGCGAAGGTAATTAAGATTTGTGAAAGGTTTTGAAACAGTTGTTGTTTTTGTTTAAGCACAAAGCTGTATTACACTTTTCACACACTACAAAAGTTTGATTCCCACACACAGGATTCTTGCAGCGTAGCCATGTATTGTTCCAAATGGGAAAATAATTTTGGTTGTCCAATCTGGCATCATGAGGTGGCAAGGGACCACCAGTAGCTTTTTTTCTTTTGAGACCGATTTGTTGTTGCAAGTAAGATGGTCGTCCCCTTTTCGTCGCATTTTGTGAGCCAATAGTACCTAGTATACATGCTAAGTCAACCCAACAAATTGTGCAAGTTTTAAAAAATTTGGCTTGCCTTCATTACATCGTCGATAGCGAAGTCAAGCGTTTATTACAGTTATGTCAATAGGGTGATAAAATAACCTCATGTACCATTTTGTTAACCTCATCTTTGTTTTGTATCTACCAATGATGCTATCAAACCCCACCATATGACGCTTATATTTATTTACAATGACAGGGCATGGCAACTGGATCTTCTTTTTATATTTTCTGTCGAACCTCTCTTCCATTGAAATAGGATCAATACCAACGAATGAAAACAATAATGTAACTGTTTTATTATCTCTCCAGAAAACATTACTTATATCTATACCTTCATAATCTGCTACAAATTCTTCAAACATTCCTTTGGGTAATTTATTTAATACTGCTTCAGTTCCAAGACTATGAATTCCTTGTTTCGCCAGAAACCTAATTACAGGTACGGATGTGTAGTAATTATCAAAATACAATTTGTAATAACAATTTAAGGAAATCTCACGTGCCAATGTCACGACAATATTACTACTTGCGCCTAAGTAATTTTGTAGTCGTTTTTTTTTATCATTTTCTGTGCCAGTGCATATTTCAAATTTATAACAAAAACCTGAAACTCCAGAAAACACAAACAGCTTATATCTCCATTTGTGTGGTTTGAGCGGCAAGTATTGCTTCATGTGGTAGCGAGCTTTTGTTGCACATATCTGCTTATCTATAGACAACATTTCTTCCATAGGTATTGTTAAAAATTTGGATGATAGGGGATCTATAACAGATCGTAATCTATGTTATTTGTCACCGGCTGCATGAACTCCTTGTTTCGCCAGAAACCTAATTACAGGTACGGATGTGTAGTAATTATTAAAATACTACTTGTGATAACTATTTATGGGAATCTCACGTGCCAATCTTACGAAAATATTACTACTTTCGCCTAAGTTAGGTTCATTTTGTAGTAGTTTTTTTTATCATTTTCCGTGCCAGTGTATATTTCAAATTTATAACAAAAAGCTGAAACTCCAGAAAACACAAACAGCTTATATCCCCATTTGTGTGGTTTGAGCGGCAAGTATTGCTTCATGTGATAGCGAGCTTTTGTTGCACATATCTGCTCATATAATCCGCTCGAATAATATATCGCTTATACTATTTCGCCGACTTTAAAACAGTACTTTCGGTTGCAACTCTGGAACTGGAAAGTCCAAGGTCACTATTAATACCATCCTCGGATCATAAGCTTTCACTCGACACCTCATTGGCCATTATATTTCATTGTTCATTCTATATCGGAGGAGCTGTGGTTACGGACGAACAAACAGACAAGGATAATTCAAGCTTTTTACATTTTAATGTTGTAAAATGGGTGATAATAAAACAAAGTTTAGCGACAAGAAATACCAAAACTTAAAAACATCTAGTGTGGATTGTTAATCCGTCTAACAACTGGTAGAATAGTTGATAGTTTATCCATGAAACGAATACTTTATCACGAATTTCAACATTCTGTGTATTGACAGCCATAGTCAAAGTCTAGCGGCAAATTAAAGTGGGAAATATTTTCCCATTGTATTATTAAGGTTTAAACAATGAATACAAATTGCGAACTGTATTTTAGGTTAGCAAACGTCAAAAACAACGGACTATATGCACCAGCCTTGGGATACGGAAGGCTCGGTAGCCTAGGTTTCGTCGACTACTTCGACATCTGCAAATTCCTATCAACCAACCAGATCTCCCCCGTCTTCGACATGGAAGTGAAAAGTCCATACGCGTCTAAGTTTTATGAATGGGTTTCATTCGAGAACACTCAAAGTCTGACGTACAAGGCGGAATACATCAGAGATCAGCAATTTGGAGGTGCTATGGTGTGGAGTCTAAATTCGGACGATTACAAGCTCAGTTGCCAGATGGAGGGTAGGGAAGAGGGTAAGTTTCCGCTGATTAAGAGCATTAAAAGTGCGTTGTTTAGTCCTAGATAGTAAACTTTTTATTTAGGTTAAATTTTTGTAAGGTTGTAGAAATTGTACGAATGCTGATACATATTTTTCTTACTCTACCTGTTTTTCCACGCCGAGAAAATCATTGCAATAGTATATCAGTATGAAAACTACTTAAAATGTATACGGCAAAATTTAAAATAAAGCCAATTCGTAATGAGGTTTTTTTTAAATAAGTATTCATTTAAATGTTTCTTTCTTTTTTGGTGTTTGTATCGCCATGTGTTTCGCCAAGTTTCTAGTTACTGCGTGTCGTTTCCATGGTAACCGTATGTATTTATTATGGTTATGAAATCGCCCTGGAATATAGTGCAGACGTTTAAAACAAATATAATTATTGTAAAAAAATTAGTTCCCTGTATAAATATATGAAATAAAGAAGCTTTTATAAAATGAAGAGAAACGTTTCAATGCCAACTTGTTATTTTGTTTGAAATACAATTTTATGTTTGCCAACGATGGAGTCACATAATTTCAAGTTGAAATGCTGTTTGACTTTCAACGTATTACATCATTCGTATTACAAAACAGCAAACAATTTTGTTTTTTTTTCTACTAAATTCAATCAAAACACGAAAAATATCTTCAACCATTTTGGTATTAAAATTATTGGTTTATGTACGACGTGTTCACGCATATTAATATGCTGGTGAATATGAAACAGTTTCGTCTTTATTAGAGATGATATTTTTTAATTAAATTATAAAGATCTGGTAGTTCTATGGCTTAGTTTGGCAACATATTTTGGTCACTTGGAACGTAATTACCCAGAAAAATATTAAAGATAACAAGTGACTGATAGTCGATTTTTTGTTTCTGTTATATATTTTCCTTAAGCCTACTTTGTAATGTTTTATCGGCATCTTATATACTTTGATTAAGCTGTGATTAAGAGTTTAGTTAGTAACGTACAATTTCTGTGTCTTGCAGAATATAAAAACTATTGTATAAAAGAAGTTAAATATTAAACTGTTTATAGAGAAGTAACAAAATTTCTGTTAGAAATTGTTTTGGAAAGTAACATTATGACATAATTATAATTTGAGAATGACAAATGACAGAAGTGTCAAGAAAGTGTTTTATGTTAAAATCGATAACTAGAAGACGTTTTGTAATAAAAGAAAATCCTGCTGTTTTTCTAGAAACATCAAAAAATATTATGGTATAACGTCATTAGCAATTGTCCGTTGCTGATTTTTTTCTAGTTGAAATATTTACCAATGTAATATTTCTGATATGTTTTTGACAGCAGAATTACTACAGCCATAATATCTGTGGCTCTTGAACTGTCATAAATGTGACTGACATTCCTATGAATTTTTTTTCAACGTTGGAATTTTTTTTAGCGGCTTTTAACACCATTGTCATTTATTTTTTATTTTTGGTGTGTGATGCGTTATGTGGAGTAGTTTTTAACACCATTCTCATTTAATTCTGATCTGTGATGTGTTTTGTGGAGTAGTTTTTCTTCACGAACAACCGACATAAGAAATTTAGCACTTCTGAAATAACTGAAATAATATTTAATTTCTTTTACATTTATGTGATGCGGTTAGTGATTTAGATGTTAGCATAAGCAAACGTGATACTTATAATTTAACCAATAAAGGAAATAAAAATGAGAAGGTATGATGCAATATATTTTTTTTATTTCCTTTAAGATTGATACTAAAATAAAGTTTCACAAGCAATATTAACACCAAATCAAATGTGTCAAAAATTAGGTACAATTGTAATTCTTTTTTATTTATTTATGCTTATACTGTAAAAATTTTAACTACCATAGTTCTATTAGTTTTTACTTAAAACGATGACTTGTTTAATATTTTGTCATGATAGAATATAATAAGGTGTGAGCAAGAGTGTGACATAAAGGTGGAATATTGTATAGTACTTGCAAGCACTCTTGACCATGCAGCTGCGCGAAGGCGGAGTCAAAATTCACGTAAAGGCAGAAAGATTCTATTATAAGTGGAATTATACTAACCAAACTAAAACGTTCTATCTTCGACTGCAACCCTCGAAATTTTCGAAATTATTAAAGTGTTGGACTGAGTAATTAATAAAAAATTGCTCGGTACATAACAAAAATGATTTTTATGTGCATTTCGTTTATATTTTCAATGATTTTTGTTCAATTTTTTTTAAACTGGCTTTAATTTGTTATTTTAAACTTAACTTTCGATATTAAACGTGAAAAAAGCCCTATTATTTATTGCAAAATTATTGTTTAAAGTTTATATTTTCAATTTTTTATTTTGAGTTGAGACATATAGTAATATTATGAGATGAATATCGTTTGGAATTCTCCATACGTCATAACTACCAGAAATCAGAGATTACTAGGAATTGCAATGAGGTTAGATAAAAACAATTAGATACAATAGAACAATAATTAGGTTCTACCTACCTATACATGGATTTCCTTTTAGTAATTAGTTGTATTTAGATATACACCTGAATTTCTGAAGGTTTCAACAATATTTACAGAAAACAGCAAAATTAACACACCATTTTAAAAATTGGACATTTTTTATGTCTCTTTTAATTCAAATTTTAAATAATAAAGCTACTAATTTTTACAAAAAACTAGACACTTTGTGATTGTTAATAATTTGACATTTATCAAATTGTTAATTTATCACAGCCCACTTTAGGCTTGTTTATTAAACTAAGCAGAAAATAAGGATTTATTGACGAAAAACATGGCTAGTTGTTAAAGGACTTTAACTTTTTATTTTTGAATATAAGCGAATCAATAAAACAAACAAAATGTTAAGAAAACGTAAGGCTATAGTTGGGTTTTAATTTTAGTATTTTACAAATGCTAGAATATTCCACAGGGTGTTGCAAACTTTAAGAAAAAAACACAGTATGATTGGTACACTCGGTATACAATAGCGATTTACCTCTCCAGCAACAATATTATTACAGCGCTATTGTTAAACAATAAGGCTCTAACCGTTCTATAACGTATTAAAAAATCTACATTAAAACAAATCTCCACATTAAAAACATCGCATAAATCCGGCAGTGCCGGATTTATGTGATAATACCATTTTTAAGGCAGTGCGTTAAATTTTAATAATAAATAATCTAATAAACAAGTTTTAAAATAAAATTTTAAGGGATATAGATAAATTGTTGAGTGAGTATGATGATATAGAAATATTAAGTTTATAAAAAATCTTACCCAAATTCTCTGTTCACTCGCGTTATAGTCATGTAAGAGTAGATAGTTCTCGTAAGAGTTTTAATTGTCTATAGCAGATTCTTCTAGTATTTTTCGGTTGTCATTTGTTTTTTGCCATTTAAAACCTAATTTCTTCAACACTTTTCTGAACGACTATAGTTTACCTTGGAAATTTTTCATTTGGAGATTTCACTTGGAGATTTTTGCAATCATTGCAAAGGTATGCACTGTGTTTCTTATAAAATTGTTCCCTCATAATTAATCTTTTTTCTGGGAGATTTAAACACATTTCACGAGCTACCTGAAGGAGATAAAAATCGGAAACTCTCTATCTCTGCATCTATAGTAATTCTTTAGACGCTACTTTTAGAAATTCCAGTAGCTTCAACAACCATATTTAAAACCGAAGATTTTGTGTTGTTTCTTTCTTGTTCCTTTTTTAAAAACTTATACACATTGTAAACAATATGTCGGCCCTGACTGTGAATAACCCGGCTGTTATTCATTGTGATGGCACTGTGAAGGAAATGAAAATATAAAAATATTTTAATATTTTAAACAATTATTTCTATAAAAAAAATCACCAAAAAAATATAATTTAATTATTATCCGACAACGAATTAAAAAAAAGAAATGGAAAAATTGTATTAAAATTTTCGTAAATGTATGTATCTATGTATTTTAATTTATGATAAAGTATCTACCTTTTGACCGCTTTTAATAAATTTAAATACGCAACAGGTAAACGGGAGAAAACACACAAACTTATTGAAGTTTACACCTCAAAGTCAAAAACACAACTAAAAATTTTCGATATTTTCGAAACTTTCGAAAAAAGTCGATATTTTCACGTTGCATAGTACAGTGCGTTTCGCATGGAAGTGGGGACTAAACCAAATTTCGTCTACTGCGCCGTGGTCATGAGTGCTTGCACGGACTATACCTACGATTCACACAACAAATTTCTAAGAGTAAGGAAACAATCGGTTCATTCTGCGCATATCTCAACTATAAAAGCCATTCAAAGGTATGTCAAACTTCTTATCAAGCGTTTTATAGCATTGGGTCGGCTAGTTGAGGTTGCGTTCCCACTTAAAGAAGTTTTTTACAAATTATTGTATTACTTTTGGTTTTTAGAAATGGTTTATAACGTTACACTGCCACCTCCACCTTTAGCTCTGATGGGCTTGATTAGAAATTAATGGCATCTGTCATGAATTGCTTTTAATTTGTTTGTTCTCCTTTAACTATTGTTACAGGTTCAGGAGCTATGAGCTTAAGCCCAGATGTACCTTAGGTACGACTCTTGAACATTCAGTATAAATACACAGATCCTGGCCGAATGGCCTGGTAGCTAAGGCCAAGCAAATGAATGGAAGACATTTTACGGAACATTTTTTCTTGACGTTCATCGAACTTTTTATCGCATTTTCTATTGGTTCATACTGGAACCAATTGTGAAACTGTATGGTCCATGGACGTATAAACATAGATGGACACAGCAATAAGATACCTTTAACACACAATGTTTTGAAGCTTCGATAGAATGTGATGGTTCCGCAATGAGCATAAGCGTGCTTGAATTTTTACTCGCGGGTAATTATTCAGATTTTAAAAATTTAAAGTAGTAATAATGTATAAAAACACGTTCAAAGAATTAAATAAAACGAGAGTTTAACTATTAACAAATCACGTCTTTATAGAAAAATTAAAATACAATTTTATTTGCTTTAAAATTAATACAATTAAGTATAGTTGAATTCAAGTTAATTTTTTAATAGGTATTAAAAATTTGCTACCCATGGTATGGTCCATGGTCGTATAAATACAGTTGGACTCAGTTATTTACATAAAATTGTGTAGTCAAAATTATTTGAGTATGTCACATTCTCAGCACCTTCAACTGTTGTCACGTTGTTTTTTTAAATTTCTTATTCGCGAGTCGCTGAAAATATTACTCCGT